GGGGCTGCCCGCTGTCGCGCGCCCGCTGTTGCCGTGGAGCTGGACAATGCGCGACTGGGCTGGGGGTGGCGGCCGGGGTATGGCCGTTACTGTGGAGACCGCAGTGCTCGCGAGCGGGGAAACGCGGCTGCGCGGCTAAGGCGAAGCAGACGCTCCCACCTGGGCCCCGGTGTTCTTAGTGGAGCCACATACTTGGTCAGACGCCTGTGGCAAAGGTAATGTCCCTGGCTCCGTATCAGGACCGCTGCGTTCTCATGAACTCTGTCCAGTAAAAGTTACCCCAATAGGGGACCACAAATTAAGATTACCCTGTTATGTGTGTTCTGAAAAACAGGGTGAGAGAGCCCGGGGTGTCCTCAGCTACATAGAGTTTAAGGCTAGTCTGGGCTACAGTGAAGCAAAACCACAGGGAAAAAAAAAAAAAAAAAAACTTAAATAAAAATAAATAAATAAATAAATAAATGGAAGAAAGGAAGAAAGACAAAAAAGATAGAAAAAGGAGAAAAAGAAAGAAAAATTAAAAAAATTAAACCAATAATTTATATATATACTATTTTATAAAATGTGTGTATCTGTAGGCCCGGCAGTGGTGACAGCCCCAGAGCTCACTGCTTGTTCTTACCCAGTAATGCCTTCAACGCAAATGCCTAGAAGGAAACACTCCACCCCATCCTATCCCCCCACATCCCACTCACACCCCGACCCCCAGCCTGATCTCCGAGCTTCATCTTTTGGGCAGGGTTGTGGTAGAGACCCTCAAAGACTACACTAGGAAGGTGGAGGCGGGATGACCAGCCTGGGCTACAGTAAAACACAAATGACTCCAGCCAGTTCCACCTCAAGTGTTTCCGCATTTGGAAGCTTTGCTCTGTTCCCGGTAGCACTCAGTCCCACGCAGCCTTAGTCCTAACTTTGTCGTTCAGTCCGCTTCCAGCTAGGAGCGCTCCTGAAGTCCATTATCCACGCTGAAAGCAAAACCAGCTAGCTAAGTGCCAGTCTGACCTCCTTACAAACCCTCAGTGGCTCTGTTTGCCTCCTCAGTGTGGGGCAGGTGTCTGTGTACCCTGAAGACAATGGTGCCTGTGCTACACGGAAGTGGGGCCCCTGCCTGCGTGGCTGTGTTTACTGCTCCTTCAGTATGACACAGGGAAAAGGCGGAAGTGAAACACTCCCAGACAGGAGTGGGGTTCCTCATAGTCGGCGTGGACCCGGTAAGTCTGGTGTTACCAGGTAACTGTTTTGATCAAAGTGCCACTTTGGCTGCTGTTCAGAAGATGTGACAGGGAAGAGTTGAGAGTGAGCTGAGGGATGGCTTGGCAGTCACAAGCATAGAGGACCCAGCGTCAACCCCCAGAACCTACATGGCAGCTCAGAACTCCAGCTCCAGGCAATCCCACACCTCTTCTGGCCTCCGCTAACTCCCACAAGGATGTAGTGTACATACTTAGGCACATACACATAAAGAATAGTGCCTAGAAGACCTGAGAAGTTGGAGGTGGGAAAGGGGTATTTGGGAATGACTCTTGGAGATTTCTGTCTGAACAACCAAAGGTATTGCCATCAGTGGCCATACGGAAGGCTGTGTAGGGCCCTGGTGAAAGAAGAACAAAGATTTTGAGCTTGCAATTGACAAGGTACTGCAGAATGTGGGGTATCAGCTTGGTATACAAAAGGGCACGCGCATGTGTGTGTGTGTGTGTGTGCGCGCGTGCGCGCGCCTACCACCAGAAACCCTCCTGGCCTTTTCTTTACCAGAAGGATTCTTCTAGACTCCGCTTAGGAACATCTCCTTCCATATGTATGTTCCCATGGAGTCGTGTCCTGGGCTTTCCCTTTGTTCTTGTATGTTTGATGCAAACCCACACCTTAAAGCCACAGTAACGTTAAAGTCACTGGATTGTGCACCTGCGTGCCTCGGATCGTAAACTCCTAGCATTTTGGAGGCTGTGTTGTGTGCCAGCTTCTCCCTCTGCACCACACATGTATCATTAGCCCATCATGGGGTGGCTTCTTGTTGGCACAAACTTCTGGAATTCCTCTTTATTGTAGTCATCTGTGCCGAGCTCTGCTCAGAGGCGTGCTTGTCTGTGCTGGTCAGACAGCCACACTGCTAAGTCAGTGTTAAACCCTGAACAAGAACCTGGATAGAACAGCATTTCCATATTGTTCTCAGATTCTAGTTTAGAAAACACATCTAGAGAGGCAAACTAATTTAACAAAAATTACAGACACCTGTTAATACGCTTTTCCCATTCCAAAGATGCAAGCTACTTTCATGTCAACTCGACGCAAGCTAGAGTCACGGGAGAACAGACAGCCTCAACTGAGAAAATGCCTTCATTTCATCAGGCTTGTAGGGCATTTTAAAAAAATGATTGATATAGGAGGGCCCAACCCACTGAAGATGGTGCTATTGTTGGACTATAAGAAAGCAGGCTGAGCAAGCCATGAGGAGCAAGCCAGTAAGCAGCTCCCCTCCAAGGCCTCTGCATCAGCTCCTGCCTCCAGGTTCCTGCCCTCTTTGAGTCCCTGCCCTGACGTCCTTCAGTGATGAACAGTGGTGTGGAAGTGTGAGCCTAATGAAGCCTCTCCTCCCCAAGCTGCGTTTGGTCATGGTGTTTCATCACAGCAGTAGCAACCCCAACTAGGGCAGATGGCTAAATTGTATGACCCTTTCCCCAAAACAAAAACCTCCCAAGATTAAAAACATGGGGATCACAAAGACAATAAATTGAGCCCAAATGCCTGAACTATTTTTTGATAACTTTAATGATAAATAATTCATATACCACCTATCCACTCATTTTAAGTGTAGAATTCACTGGTATTTTTATCATGTTCAGAAATGCACGATCAGCACAAAGTTAGGACATTTCTAACACCTCGAAGAAATGGCACAATCCTTAAAATATGTCCCCATCTCTATGCACCCTGCCTGGCTTCCGTATCTATCACATCCAATCTGGATATTTCTTATAAGGGATCACATCATTTACGGTCTCTCATGTCGGCTTCCTTCAATGTTTTCAAGGCTCAGGTACGTTGTACTTTTTATGAATAAACAGTATTATCATATGGTTACAACAATCTATATTCCTTGGCCAACACTTCTCACTTGACCATGACAGTGGTCCCTTGGGTGTGAAGTGATGTTTCTCCCTGGTGTTGTGGCATCTCATTGATGACTAGGTTCTCCCTGGTGTTATGGCCTCTCATTGATGACCAGGTTCTCCTGGCTTTTGGTGCGTTATTTTCTGCCTCTGCCTCCCTGATCCACATGGTGAGCCCTAGGTAGGGTTGTTTTTAATGTCTTTTTTTTTCCCGCAATTAATCTGTAATTAATTGTATCCAAGACAGTTTAAAACCAATGTCTTCTTTAGGAATTAAGTATTCATGAATGGGAATTCAGTTTATTATTTTTTGATTAGAGAAATAAAATCAGAAACTCCAAAGGGTTTAAGAGAGCCTGGCATATAGCTCGTATATGTGAAGTTCCCTTAGAGAGCCCAGGAGAGCCTCACTGAATCCCCCGAAACACTGAAACCACCAGCAGGGAGCCTTGTGGTCAAACTGAGTAGAAGTGCCACCATAGTAACTTTCTAAAGAAAAAATACAGGTTTCCAATATGAGTTGCCAGCAAATGCTACCAGAGCCGAGCTTCTGAACTAATTGGACAGTGTGCATTAGGGCAGGTTTATGTAGCCTGATCAGGGGGAACTGCACTGACTTAATGATTACCCCACACACAGCTGCAGAGACTACCTGTATGTATGTGAGACTGATTCCCTGACAGTTGAGCAGATTGTTCAAGCTTCCTACCTGCTGCTTAATGATGTAAAAGCACCAGCCTTTCCTTGGATTTGGAGGGACAGAGTCCAACCTAAGCCCCATTCCCAATTTTATTGAATGTGAACGAATACAGCACCAAAGGATAAGATCCACATTAATTCTGATAGTGATTTAGTTTTTGACAGGATGTTGAACACAGCCAAGCATCTATATATAGGAATGAACAAAAAGTGACCTAATATTACAATAATCTCTGACCTAAACTCCTGTAGCAATCTGTCTTGTGGGCTAAACACAATCTTGGCAGTAATTGGCTCAGAATGGTCTGGCTTCCGGCTTCCATAACTGTGCCCGTGCTTCTAACTCAGCACCAGGCAGAGAAAGGCAACTGTGCTCCCTAAACTGGTCCCAGGGGTGGGGTGAGTACTGGCCCCTGCTAACCCACTTTCAGCTTCCCAGGCAACAGTTTTCTCAGAGACCACAAGGGAGTGCTCGCTCTCTCTCTCTCTCTCTCTCTCTCTCTCTCTCTCTCTCTCTCCCTCCCTCCCTCCCTTTCCCAAGGTGTATCTCCACGCTTCTCTTGATTGCTATGATCTTTTCCTGCTATTAGATTACCTACCTTACCTATATCGGAAAACAGTCACCCACACCCATATGACATTTAGTTGGAAGATGCTGGTGAATTTTTCACACTTCCTAAATTAACGGTTCACAATTTTTGGAAGAACATAATTAGTCTAAGATATTCATTAGGCAATTTCCTAATTTACCCAGGTCAGCTGCCCCCTGGACCTGCGGGCTCGGG